AGATCAGAAAAAAATACTATCTCCATCAGTAAAAGTACCGGACCCAAAATAAAATTCAAATTTTTCATCTAAAAAAGTAATCGGTAATCATAATTTGCATGTGATGATGACCAAGTCAAAAGCATGTATGACGGCGCTAGTACATATCGTCGCACGACACTTTGTCGTGTTCACGTCGTCGCAATCATTTCGTCGCACGATCACTTCGTCGCACGATCACTTCGTTGCATAACATTTTGTCGCGTTCTGTTCGTCGCAGAAAAAAAAATTCTTTCGTTCTGTTCGTCGCATCTCTCTCAATTAATTTTCTTTTCAAAGATGTGAAATTGATCAATTAATTCACCTTTATTTTGTGTATTATACATAACATAATGATGAACAAATTGAGAACAAAAAAAAAGAAAAAAAAAGAAAGAAAGAAACAAAAGAAAAAAAACAAAAGAAAAAAAAGAAAGGAAAAAAGTAACCTAAAGAAAACAAAATAATTTTAAGAAAAAAATTACCTAAAGATTAATGTTGGCTGCCATATTTGTTAAGAATTGATCCAGTTGAGATGAGTCAAAGGCATTGACCAGCCGAGTAATTCGTTCGTCCAATCGTCGATAGCAGGCCTTCTTCATCTTAATATCATGACCTTGGTGAATCTTCATCATGTCCACTTCGAATTTCGATTGTTCACGACGAATTTTCTCTGCCAATTTCACGATATTTGGATGATTGATTGCGACGCGGTTTGCAAATGCATTGTGCCAGCCTTCCACCGAATTGTTCGAACGAGGTACAGCAGCGACGACACGATCATGAATATTCCATAATTTGTGATCAAATTTAGGCTTCTTTCGACCAGTTCCTAAGAAAGTCGATTATATTTCGTATTTCTTAAGAATAAAGAAAAAAAATTACCTCTTCTTTTTGGTTCACGAATCCATGTTTTTTCAAAATAATCAAGTAAATCATCGGCGTCATCGTCGAATTGATTGGCAATTAAGTCAAAGCCAGTTGTAATTTCATCTACCGGAACAAAGGCAAGAGTAATCAATTTTTTTACATTTAAACGAAAGTACTCATCTTCTCTATATTTTGTTACCAATCCTTTTTCTTGAACTTGCTGCCATATCGCTTGCGAAAAATGAAAGAAACATCCTATAACAAACATCTTGATTACTTTTTTTTTGAGAATATTACAAAATACCTTTATGTAAAACGTTTGGCAACATTTCTCTGACGGATTTGATTGTACCAGTTTCGAAATCAGTCATAATTGATTCAGGTTGAAAATTGTCTTGTACTAATACTTTTTCGAAGAATGAATTGTAATCTTCAGCACTTTTACCAATTAATAATCCATAGACGAGAGGGATAATTGCATTAGTCATCATCGCGTGTAACGTGAATAATTGATAATAATTATCAGGACACACCTACGTCAAAGAAAATTAAAAAAAAAAAGATATAAAGTTTTAATTGATAGCTGACTTTGAATGTTCCATCAGCGAACCAATGTTTATTTTGCTTCAGAATCGATAAATTTGTTTTTGTTGTAAAGATAATTAAATTTTTGTCTTCGTGCAAGATGAAGTCTTCATCGCGATACGCCTTTCTTAATTTTTCTGGTAAACAACCATCGGCATCGACTGCTTCAACAGTACGCTGTCGTCGAATCATTAGCATAAGTGCTTCTTTTTTTGAAAGTTCACCAGCAGCACTCAACGGATACGTACGCAAAGCAGAATGAATAATGGAGCTGGTTGATTCATCTGTTGTTACGGCACGAGCTTTAATTTCATTTTTTAATTGAATAGCAGGCACACGATTAGGTTGAGGAGCATGACAGTGGGCTGTTAGTTGTGAGAGAAATACGTCCATAGATAAATTGGTATGACATCGAGCTTAATAGATCAATAATTTTTGTTTTAATTGACTGATAGTAAATGTTAACTTACCTTTACAATCTCGATTCTGACAACGAAAGATCAATTTCGTCGATGCTGTACGTTCTACAGTGTAGATGTAACCTTCGTGATGAATCATTGGTTTTCCTTTTACAGAAAGAAGTTTTTCGATTTGAGACATTTTGATTAAAGAGTAGTTCGCAGTGAGAGTTAATATTGAAAAATGAAATGTATTTTTTTTTCTGGCTTCTTATTTAAGAATATTATTTTATTATTTATCTTTAGCCTGGATTATGTTAAAATTGATTAACCGAGTAACAAATCTAATTATTCATCGTTCACTTTAGACCCGTTGCGATTATATATGAGTATTCGTTTTGATCCGCTTTCTCAATTAGAGTTATTATTGTTGGAATTATCATTTGTCTATTTTAATTGTACATATTTCATAGAATTTTTCATTTATTTTATTTCAATTGGTTGTACAAAAAAAATTCATTAATTAAGTGAGATACAACAAGTAGAAAGGAAGAGAACGAGAGTAATTACTCTGCGATGAACAGAACGAAAGAATTTTTTTTTCTGCGACAAACAGAACGAAAGAATTTTTTTTCTGCGACGAACAGAACGCGACAAAATGTTATGCGACGAAGTGATCGTGCGACGAAATGATTGCGACGAAGTGAACGCGACGAAGTGTCGTACGACGAAGTGAACGGTCACCTGTATGACTAAACATGAAACTAATCAATGAAAATTATTACCTAAAGCTCTAAAACAACCGGCTAATAGTCGGAAACAAACAGAAACGTCTAACGAAACAACAACGGACACAAAAGTTCATATGACTACGTCACAAACTAGAAAAATATCATCTATTAAACCAGATTCGACAAAAGTAGATACCGATCAAATTCTACAAAATGCGATTCTAGTAGACAAGAAGACAAATAATATGATTCCTAAATCTGCCTTAACCAAACATTATGTCTCTATTGGTCATGCTTTTACCACTAACGACATTAAAATTCTGCTGCCCGATCGTCATTGCTATCGATTATTGATTAAAGAATTTATAGTTATAAGACAAAGAAAATCAAAACTTAACGGTACCGATTGATCAATACCTTTGTATATTTTTCCAGATGAAATTCCAAAAGATACCAACAAAACATCCGAGCAAGGTGTTTAAACATCAGACATTCATGTTAGCACAGGCATGCATGCTAGATTTTTCTGTAAACTAAAATAGCACTCCCATATTTCAGATCCACCTATAGCACATCATCTGGTGACAACAACAAACTAAATCATACTGCTACTCATAATCTAATCAATCAATAATCAAAGTTGGTTCTGACACAACATTTCCTAGGTTCTACCAATACACGTAGCTAAATTTTCACTTTTCCTAGAAATTCAAAACATTATACAATAGCTGTTCCTTATCGACTTCATCATCGACAATCACAAACATTTCTTCGTCATTTACCAAACATGCAAACTTCCTCATAAACTGATATGTTACCATCAACTATTTTTCCGAGAATCATCCCTCAACAAATTGTACCTACACCAAAATATTCATATAAATGCCACATACTACCAAGACTACTTGGACTGTACGTCATTTCAATGAAACATGCCAATAGAAATAAAACACGAAGATATTCACATATTCCAAAAACCAAATCCTACAATCGACAATTCAGCTGAGTCAAAAAATTTCATACATGTTCCAGGACACTACTAGGCGTATCACAACTTCTAGAATCTAATAATATTTATTGCTCTACACAATAGATACATAAAGTTCGTACTCTACCTACATCATACGAATAACAGTGATCCCCAACGCTATCTTCTGATCATACCATACATACACTATTCCATAAGCTACCAAAATCAGCAATTCAACCCCATCCGAGTTTCCGTAACCTTTCTACTTCTACCGACCGACAGACCTTTCTACCATCTTTATCAATTTCTCTATACAACTGATATTTAGCAGATTCATTTCGACTTCTAATAACTCTCGTACTGAAGATGATCGATCTTACCAGCAGGTTCCAACAGAAAGCTGGTCAAAACTTCTACATTATATTAATTTTCAAAATAAAATACATTTCTTCATTTCACTGCATATTTTTCTTTTGATTTAATAAGATATTTCGTGTATTATATTTCTTCTTAAGTTTACTCTCTTTAAAGCCTATGTTTGTTACGTTCGTAAGCAATACACCATTCTCTTGTATTGAAAACTAATGATTTGCAAAAAAAAAACACCTTGCATTTTAATGTAAAATTTTCGATCGAAAAATATCGCCTAAAAAATCATAGAAGTACAACTTTCATCTGTCTTACTTTCATTGTTTCTATTATAATCAAGAATGGCGCAGTTGTAGCTAAATAGAATACTCAATTATGCATCCATGGGTCTTTGATTTACATTTCAATCTTGCATCGACAAGTAATGTGAACTATAAGAATAAAAAGAAAAAAATAATTATGAAACACAATATGTACGATCGTCAAACAATAGGTCTTCATAAAAAAATAAAAGAGAAAAAGTACTTAATATATTTCATCCATCTCCGTATAAATTAAGACAGCGTCAAATGTGTATCAATTCACAAAAAAATGAATTCAGTCTTTTTCAAGATGATGATGATTTATCTGGTTTTTATCGCTTCATTCTTTATCAAACTCGTTCATGGTAGTCATCAATGTGTTTTTCGTGGGGGTACAATTAGTTGGCGACCGGCAACCTCTGATTTGCCTGTACTAAATACAATACGAACGATTATTATTGATCAACGCTATGCATGGTACTTAAGTGGTCCAAACAGTACATGTTCTGCAACAACAATACTATCGAATGACTTGATCGGCGATAGTACTATGAAGAAGCTTACTTGTAATCCATCCTCGACATGCAACGCAGTCCAATTTCCGAATAATAGTGTCTCGACTCTCGTTCCATGTACCAGTTATAACACTGTTTGGAGCATATCTTATGGTCAGAGTTCGACATCACTGAATTTGTCCGTTCAAACAGGTGGATTTGAGATTAGCTATGGTCCTGGATCATATTGGGCCGTATTAGTTATGGGAGGTAGCTCTGCTCAATGGCTGCTCGCTATGTACGTGAATTTGGCACCACGTGCGGATAATAATCTTGTCAATCATTCGCCTACATCATCATTGTCACTTGTAATTTATGTACCTATTGCCGTCAATACATCGATCAGCGTTCCGATGAGTGATGAAGATGGAGATATTCTTAGATGTCGTTTTGCTCAATCATCTAAGAACATGAGTGGAATTATTGTGAATGAATGTAGTGGAGGTTGCTCTTCAACAGCACTTCCATCATCCACACAACTCTTTGCAAGTGATAATAATTGTACACTCATTGTTAGTCTATCATCACTAGGCTATTATGCAGTGGCCATACAAATAGAAGACTTTCTGACAACTTCTACTGTGCCACTCAGTTCTGTTCCGCTTCACTTTCTTCTCTGTGCATACACAGTAACAACAACGGTCACATCCACAACAACATCAACGAAAACCACCACATCGACCACAACATCAACGACAAGCATCACATCCATCACAACATCAACGGCAAGCACCACATCCACTACAACATCAACGGAAAGCACCACATCCACTACAACATCAACGGAAAGCACCACATCCACTACAACATCAATCACATCCGCGACAACAAGCACTGCTACGATCACAACAATAAGTTTGTATATTTTCCAACTACAAGATTAATGCTCACATTTTCATTTTATTTTCTAGCTACAACAATCAAACCCTTCGATTACCTTCCGTTAGTGCTTGGACTAAGCCTTGGTCTAGGACTACCACTTTTATTCTTACTCAGTCTCATGGCTGTATGTTATAAATATCAGTGGTGTCTTCGTCGTCTACGGTATGTTCTTTCTTTTTCGAGATGATAGCAAAAGTTTTTTGTTGGGTTGTTATTAAGATCGATAATCAATCGTCGTTACGATCACAATACTGATGAATACTCCCAATATCGTCAACAATCAACATCCTTCAATAATTCACAAACAATTGAGAAGGAACTGAATGGCACTTGTGAATATCGAAAATTATACATCAATGATAACGATTCTTCACAACGAAGAACAAATCATGAGCAACGGAATTTGTCTTCGTTTGATCTGTTCGATTCGAGCTCGATGTCACTATTCAAATCCGGTTCATTGACAAGAACATCTTTATTCTCATCAGCAAGCAACAATCTTCCTACAGAGCGTGTTGAACGTATTGTATCTCCACTTTCACTTCCTCCCAATCCAATACGAAATACTGGTTCAATTCTCGTGCGAGCTTATAATGAACAACAGAACCTATAATGTAATACAATATCTGTTTTGTGAATAAATTTTTAGCATAAAATATGAAATATACTTGAACAAAGCACGAAGGAGTGCAGCTATCCATGAGACGGAAAGAAAGTATTTTTGACTTGAGGGTGGGTGTGGGTGTTGTTATGTCCTTGAGCAGCATCCAAACCTACACCCACACCCCACACCCACACGCACACTCACACCCACACCCACCCACACCCAAACCCGCACCCGCAGCCACACCCCACACCCACACCCCACCCTCACCCATAAATATAAGTAAAAACGTATGAAATCCCATCGAACGATTTTTATGCTCATTACTGTAATTAGGTTCAATTAAAAATCGAAATTAAAAGCATTATGATCATGTCAATGAGAAACTGAATAAAAACAATGTAAAAAAATTGCTTTCAATAATATATTAAGGGTTTGTTGGTATAGGTGTGGGCGTGGGTATACAACAAAGAACAAAGCACATCCCACAC